GGTCCCTATGGGATAGTCGAACCTTCGGGTTCTTCAACCTCTGTTGGAAGCTTCTTGAGATGCGTGGGATGAAAATCGTTTTCACCTGCCGTTCGCTCACTTCGATTCCCAGAGTTCGCTTCGGAACGGAACGACGGTCTACCCGGGTCTCGGGCCTGATCTCGGATGGTGGTCCCGAACGGTGCGCGCGTCTGGTGCGTTGAGGCACGGCTCTGAGCTGCTGAAGGAGTACAACCGATCCAAAGCGATGGGAGCTCTACCAGCCTACACCAATGGAGTGGGGAAGTATGCCTGCATGTGCCCTGGAGATAAGATGACCAAGTTGGTTCGAAATGCGCAACACTGGTGGGTTGTTGTTCCATCTTTATTGGGCGGGGGTGCGCGGACACGATACGAACAAATAAGAACCATTGCTTCAAGCATTTGATCCATTTCGAGGATTGTCGAGGTGACTATCAAGAATGCCCCTCAACCCACTCCGTCATTTCAGCACATCCCAATCCGAACCATCTTGGGTTCTCCCCTTTTTGTGACCGGCACCACTTGGAGCCCGGTCACGACCGGTCACTCCCTCGTCCCAGCGCTCTGTTCCACTCCCTCGCGCGGCGTTCCGCCTTAGGTCGAAGGTCTTAAGCTACCTGCAGACAGGACACGGCTTGGTCGATGGCCACACCTGCCTAGTCAGTGAACCACTTCGCTTGGGCCGTGCTGCCGTGGAGGATGCCACGATGTGAGACGGAGCGGAGAGAGCGGCGGAGAGAGCGGCAGAGCAGGCGGAGCGGAAAGGCCTAAGAAGGAGGCCTGCAATACCCAAAAGCTGTAAGAGTCCCTGCCAATACCTCAGGGGCAATCCCACACAATGCCTTTTCGTCCGTGCCCCGACTGAGACATGTCTTGGGGTGCTGAAAATCCAATTCTATAAGCGGCCCTACAGTAAGAGCTACTGCAGTCCAATTTGAAGAGTGATTTTATATGAATTTATGTTTGATTTTGATGAGTGTATACACACTTCCCAGTCGCTGGACTTCCCAACTTTTGGCTCTTTCATCCAAGTATAGGTCAGTAAATGAATCTTGAAGAAAGGCACTTGGCCAAGCTAAACGGTGAACCTCTGCGTTTGCTCAACCCGACGTCCTTCGGCCAAAGCTCACTGTCTCCGCGTTTCATCGGAGAGAGCGAAGAGGAAGACCCGAGGGAAAAGCGAGGACGAAGAAGAGCTGGTGAGCACGAAGACATGGAAGCTGTTGTTGTTCTTGTAGTTAAAACCTTGTTCTCCGGAGATAGCATGGGCATTGAATGGTGTCGGATTCAGAGGTTGAAGATCCTTTTTTCCTTTGGCCGCCCATTTGTTGCCCCGTTTGTACCGTCTTTGGGCACGCCGTGTGATTCTGGTGTCAGTCTTTGCTGCCCCATCTACTACCAGAATCATGAGTGACAGTGCTTTGTTCGGTGTGCACTTGAAACTGCTTAGTATTGGTATATGAGCCTTTGTGCGGATGCAAAACCCATCAAGTTGCAACAGACCTAGCCAAGATTTCTCGCTGTGAACCACCACACAATTCCCGCTTAACGGGAAATCATGTGGTTTCTGGCAGGCACGGTGTACAATAGAAGCATGAAGCATCAAAAGAAACATGGAACATTGCAATCCACCAGCGTTTTGGCTGAAGTGTGGTTGAAGTGTGACGGAGCAATCGCTGCAGCTTCCGCTGATTGACATGACGGAGCCATAGCTGAAGCCCAACGCGCGGCGCACGCGTCTTTTTTGCACAACTAACATGCCTAAGAATCAGATTCCATGTATGGAATTATATACTAGCTCTTAAAGACATTTAAAAGCCATCTTACATCCTAGAATCACCCCAAGGTGCTGCGAATCTTCGAGTCCCATGAATTGTGATCGGGATGATCGGCACACTGACACTGAACACCTGTTCGGATGGCGACATGCAAAGACCATGAAATCCAAGAAGCGCTTCTCCCCCAGCTGGTGAACTCCACTTCTAAGTCGGATTTTCTCAGAACTGATGAAACGTCCGTCGGAACCGAGCTATATAACACTTGTCAAGTCTGAAGGGTTTTGTGGAGGGGTGGACGTCTTGTCAAGTCCGCATGGTGTTCCCTTCTTCTTCCCACTAAACATCCGCATGTGTTCCTTTTGTTACCAGAGTTCATTCCTTTTTTGGTGGACAATGGCAACGGCAGACTCCACCCAATACGGCGAATACGGCACACTCCGCATAGAAGTCGTCGTCGTTTGCGGTCGGGGCCATGGCCGCCGGGCGGGTTTGGCCGGGTTTGGCGCTTTGGTTTAGTTCGGTTTGGTGATTTAGAACACCTCAACGTCCACAAACACTAGTTTCAGTTGAGCTATCTTCACTTCATCTATCCATATACATGTGATTCTATATGGCATCAGGTGGAGCTACAATCTATTAAGCTCATGTTCTTTGTATCGAAGTCTCATCCGCACCTCTTGGAAAGTGGATGGTATGTTTCCCCTACTATTCCCCTACCTCCATCCCGGCTAGCGGGTCTACCGTCCGACCCCTCGCGCCCTCGCCCGGGAGCGCTCCGCCTCCGCTCCACCCATACACGACCTGTCTGGGACGGCCAGGACGGGTCCCTGTCGCCGGACGGCCGACCTGGCAACCACCACCACCCCGGGCCGTGGCCGTCACTCTCGGCAGTCCGGCAGTCCACGGGTCGTCGATGGGCAAAGGATGCGTTCTCGGCCTTTGACGTGAACCACGACGGCAAGTTGAGCCGAGAGGAGCGGAGCGGGAGCGCGGTACCGTGCGGTGTCCGGTGTCTCCGGTCTCTCCGGTTGGGGAGGTCGGGGGGGAGGGGTGGAACCCAAAGCGTGGGTGGGTGGGTGTTCCCGAACAAACCACGGGATTCAAAGTTGTTGCACATTGGGGTGAGTTTAAGATGTTTCAAGTATTTTTGAAGATGCCAGACTTTATGGATGATTTCATATGAGTTACAGTTCAGTGTTGCTTTTTCCTTTTCAATCTGAAGAATTTGTTGTAACAGATCGTTTGAGATGCATGCTCTCAAGCTGTAAAAGCACATAGATCATATTTGGTTGATGTGTGTTTGGTCTCATCACCGGGCGCTGTGGGCACATGACCCGGCCACTGGCCCGAAGACCGGCATATCAAGTTGACGGATGTCATGTTTGCGTACTGAAACATTCCCAGACACGACCCATGGGACTGCCATAGGACTGCCGATCAGTTGGGGTGGTGGTTTGGGGGGTCTTTCTGGGGCGGCAGTCCTATGGCAGTCCCATGGAGTGTTTGGGATTTATATACAATCTATTTTAGGGATGTCTATCACCCACAGCCATCTCTTCCCAGGATTCCAAACACCGTAATATCCTTTCGAATCGTCAATCTTTACCTGTTCGAACCATTGTTTTTGAAAAGGACTTCAACAGTCTTGGAAGTCTTAGTGTCTTTGCTTTTCTCCAGTGACTTGGGCGACGACGACGGAGGAGTTCAATGCTATGATGGCTGGACAGGCTGATGTTCTCCCGTTCGGTCGAAGTTGGTGAGCCCATGTCAGCCCATGTCGGCTGTTCGGTTGAAAAAGCATCGAATTTGGCAGACTCACTGCTCACTCGATCATTTACCCTCCCTCCAACAAACATGGAAGCTGACCAGGAACCCTTTGTAGAGGAAAACAGTCTTCCAGTAGCCTAGCTTCCAGGGAGTGTACTTGGTGTTTGTCCCAACTGTTAGACTGGGTCGCGTTTGTCGGGCAAGGATGATGTACCATGTTTGGAGATGAAAAGGCCTGCAACCGAATCATCGTTTTCATCCCGGTTAATACTACACCGAGATGTAGTACTCTATCTCCCATGATCATACTGAAGATGCATCGTTGGCAAAAGCTAGTAACAAGTGCATTGCTAGTAACAAGGGCGTTGCGGCATTACTAGGAACAAGAAGCTACCAATTTCTGTGTTCAACTAAAGGAAGACCTGGAAAAATCGCCGAACCGATGCCCCCCTTTCCACCGAAAACACGGGCCAGGCGGCGTACACGACTGAGGGGGCAGGGTGCTACACCGGTGCCAATTACCTCACACAGCTGCTGGGTGGTGGTTTCAGAGATGTTTATTTCCCACCTTTGTAGGCTGTTCTTCACATATGGCGAAGGTTTTGAAGCGTTTAAACGAGCAAACCTTTACTTGACACTGATCGATCCCACTCATATATTTGTTCAAGCGACACCACCGACCAGGCCAGCTTACACGGCCCAACCCATTCCCGTGAGCTATGCTTCAGCTCAACCAGCCTCCGTGACCTATGCCGCTGAAGTGCCCCAGACCACAGCGGCGACGGCGACGACGGCTCAGGCTGCTCAAGTGACCTACGCACCCGCTCAGGCGGCTCAAGCACCAGCATACGCACAAGCAGCACAGTTGTACGTCCAGCCGCAGGCCGAAACAGCTCAAGCCCAAGCAGGTGTGACCTATGCTGCAGCATCCTACCCTGCTCAATATCAGACACAGCCAGCGGAACCAGTGCCTGTGACCTACGCAGCGCAACCGGCTGAAACCTATGCCGCACCTCAGGCCGCTGAACCTGTACCAGTCACGTACTCTGCACCAACTGAGATGGCAGCACCAAGCTACACCACTGCACAGCCTGTGCAAGCCGCACAGGTGGCAGCATCGTATCAAATTGCAGCTCCAGCTCAAATGGCTGCACCTTCAGCCTTTGCACAGATTGACGCCAATAAAGATGGAGTGATCTCCAGACAAGAGTTTGCTGCAGCCATGGCCGGCCAGCCAACAACCTACACCGCGCAGCCTCAGTTGCAGGTGCAGCCCCAAATGCAGGTGCAGCCCCAGATGCAGGTGCAGCCCCAGATCCAAATGCAGCCGCAATTCCAGGTGCCGCAATTCCAGGCGCAGATGCCGGGTGTGAATAGTTATGTGCCCATGCCAGCAGCACCCGAACAATCTTTGAGCTATGTTGCGCCAGTACTTCCACCTCCTCAGATGGCTCAAACCCCTGTGCCAGTGTATGCGGCTCCAGCGGCAGCAGCAGCAGCAGCAGCAACAGTTACACAGCCAGAGGCAGCACCAGCACCGGCAGCAGGAAAGATGCTCTATGCAGCACCTCTTTTAGCTGCGAGCACCTCTCCTGCGAGTGGACCTTCGACAGCTGCTGGAACACCTCCGCCAGGTGCAGTTTATGCTGCACCTCAGACTTCCTTTGTGCCTCCTCCGGCACAACCATCTCCCTTTCAGATGCCCCAAATGCCCAGTTATGTTCCTCTTCAGATGCCAGCTGTAGATGTCCCATTGTTCGGAGCTCAGCCCACCATGTTTCAACAACTGGACGTCAACCAAGACGGGGTTCTCTCGCGAGAGGAGTTTGCAGCCTATGCTGGGTTCAGCCAACCAGCTTACTCCAGTGCACAGCCGGCACCCATGTTTGGGGGGGCATCCAACTATGTGAGGGCCAACGAGCTGTCCTTCACCCCACCCATTCAATATTCAGCCTCCGCTCAGATGCCAGCTCCAACTGCCTATGAGCCACAGCCTCAGATCTACTCCGCACCGCAGCCGCAGCCCATTTATGCGCAACCTGCCAGCACTTATCAGCCTGCACCACAAGCGGCGCCTGCGCAAACCACCTATGCACAGCAAGCCAGCTTTGCTCCAGCAACATACACCGCAGCCCCACAAACCTACACAGCTCCCCCCATGCAATTGGCGACCGACTATGCCGCACCCCCAACGGTGGCCCGCACCGACTTTGCAGCTCTCTCGCAGCCCTATTCCTTGACGCCACCGGTGGAGTATGCACCGATGACGATGGCTCCGGCCCAGTATTCGACACAACCAGCCCAGTATTCCATGGAATACTCAGCAGCACCTACTCAGTACACTACTGCTGCAGTAGCACCAGCACAATATACAGTTGCAGGTCAGTCCTATGCTCCTCAGATTCTGGAAGCACCCGGACAGTATTTGGACCAGTACGCCATGGCACCGGCGCAGTTTGCCCAATACTCTCAGTACACAGCAGCACCAGCTCAAGCCACTGCAGCTCAATACGCTGCAGCACCAGCTCAGAGCACTGCAGCTCAGTACACTGCAGCTCCAGCCCAGGCTGCAGTAGCGCAATATACTGCAGCGCCAGCCCAGAGCACTGCAGCACAATACACTGCAGCACCAGCTCAGGCTACTGCAGTTCAATACTCTGCAGCACCACCCCAGACTACTGCACCGCAGTACATGTCGCAACTGGGCGGTGGCCAGTACATGACTGTGGGAAATCCAGCCACTTTGCTGCATGGAACAAGGGGGTTTTGCAAATCCAGGAACCTGTGGCATGTGTTCATGGAAAAATGAACAGTTCCATCCAAGAACGGCATCAACCTGTCACAGTTCCAGTCCAGCATTCTCTGGTGTTTGGCCGTCGGGTCGCCCAATCCTCCAGGCCGCCAACTACGGTGGTGCGCGGCCTCAGTTGATTCTTTGGGAACGACCTGGGACTGGTCGGAGAGGTTCGGAGAGGTTCGGAGCCACCGGGGAGGGTGTTTTCCTGAAGCAGAAGGGACCCAGATGCTTTTCCTGCTGCTTCATACTCAGCTGATAGATGTCCTGTGAGTGTGAGAAGCCTTGCTGGCAGCAAACACTCCAAATCTCGCTGTGAGTTGTTTCGTGACGGCTTTGGCTTGGCACATGTGTTTGTTGAGAGAAGCGGTGGTGCTACATGATACCCTTCTCGATGTTTTTTAAGTTGATGTGTTAAGCCTGGAAGGGTAAGACCATAGTCCCCTCACCCGGATGCATTCGTCCAAGCCCTCACACGACAAGCTCAAGCCAAATTCAGGTATGAAAGTTCATTGTCAGCCACTCTAGTGGGACGGGTGCCTTGACCCAGGAACTGCCTACATGCCCTTTGGAGCCAAACGTGAGACCGTTGGAATCTCAGTTTTTTTGGATGAGATGTGGCGAAGGTGTGAACCTCTGAAGTCGTCCAGGCTTCTGGGCATCTGTTTTGGACTTGATCCCATCCAACCCCCCCAGAATTGCACGGATTGAAGATTAGCCCGATTCCGGTAGAATCAACATGAATCAATCCTCCACCAACAAGATTAGGAAAACCCGGCTAATCGACATGAGTTCAATCCTGTCATGTTTGTTTTGTTCCTCAACCTTTTGATTGGTTTTTGACTTTTTTGTGGGGTTGCTTGCAGACAGAGTGCTACTCACTCCGTGCAAGACATCCTCCGCTGCAGGATGTCTTTGCGCAGGCTGGGTTGGAACCGAACGATGTTCCGTGGGGGTTCACCCGACACTTCACAGCCCCAGCCAAGCTCCATAAGGTGCCCTTTTGGTTGCGTCCAAATCGAGAAGAAAGAGGGCCAACAACTTGAAAGAAGATGGCCTAGTTAACCAGATGACACGACTACACCATATACAGTACCATATACAGTTGGCCTTTGATGCATCACAGCTGCCTAGTTAGCAGATGCCGTGTCTGTGTTGTTCGTGGCATGCGGTGTGCCGCAAAAACCACGCCGTTTTGCTCAGATGGATGTGAACGGGGACGGCGTCCTATCTCGAGAAGAGTTTATGGCCAGTATTCATAGGTGATGAGGCACTGGCATGACTGGCATGTTTGCAGTGTCAGCTTGCAGTCATACAAACTGGAGTCATACAGTCATACATGCTTTGCTTCTTTGTTCTCTCCTTGGTGGTCTGAATGCTGTACGGGTTCAGGCGAGATGCTACTAGTGTCGTACAATGGGACAACTTCGACACTGTAAATAGATCTATTTGCCTGGTATGGTGCTCAGCTGGAACCTGAAACCATATGAGTCTTTGAAGAAAAGATGGCAGTCCTTCAAGTTGTTTTGGAAAGCTTCAATCTGAGCATGACTGAGGCTCCCTCGCCTTTGGAGCGGCGTAGCCGCCGTCCTTTTTGAGAAATACCGGGACGGACGCCGCAGCCAATCCCGCGGGGAACTATGAAACCGCGCGTATCGTCGCGATAGCTTTCAAGCGCTTGGTCAAGCCACCTGGAGCTTGACGGTTCAATGCTCACCTAGAAATGCCGGAAACACTTGATGAGGGAGGCGTACTTTGAGCCTTGAAGAACTCGAAGAAAGGAACATCAAGAACTCTGACAAGATTTTATATATATATATATATTATGTGTAACCAAGTATCTAACCACACCATGTGCATCGTTCCAAAAAACATCCATTGTGTCAACCGTGTTGCAGGCACAAGCCCATCCAATGCCGCAAAAAGGTGGAAACCCAAGCAGGAAACCCGTCAATTAAGTGTCCGGCATGATTCTTTGCAGATATGACACATTTTGGTGGAAAAAGGGCGCCGCTGCTCCGTCCGTACCTGCGACTGGACCGAGTGGACGGAACCAGGCAGGTACGGCACCAGGCAGGTACGGCACCGGGCAGGTCAGCCGTCCAGTCTTATGGCACCTTTAGAGGATTAGACGAAGAAGAGGCAGACCAGGTGTGAAACGACATGCATGATCTTCAGGGTGCGTCCTTTTACATCATGGGGCCCATACTTCAATGGTTTCAATGCGCCCTGTCCGTCATCTGAAAAATCTCTGTCAACACCGGTCTACCTGCGCTCGTCTTCCAACTCGGCCTCCTGAGGCCTTGGTCACCGCCTCACAGAACGACACCATGGTGGGCTACTGGGAGCCACTGAAGTACGTCACCAAGCTGCGACGCATCAAAACGGCCACGCGGACGCAAGCCGGCTTCGGGCATGGGCCGCCCCCCCCCTCCCGCGGGTCACGTGGACGGAGGCTGCTGGGTATCGCCAGTGCTAAGCTGCTGAGGACTCCAACCCGGTGCTCTTGAAGGTGGACTTCCACGCGGGGCATGGTGGGGCGTCGGAGAAGTCCAAGTCCATGAAGGAGCAGGCGAGTAGAGCTCAGCGAGTAGAGCTCGGAGCGGAGAGCGGAGAGCGCTCGGAGCCTGGGCTGGGTTGGCATGCTTCATCCGACATCCAAGAGAGCCAAACGAGAGAGTCAGTGGCACCACTGACTGTCCTGCCAAGCCTCATCAAGCCATCAAGAAGCAAACCCTAGATCACCCCGATGCAAAGTCAAGCAGGCTGACTGATATTGACTGAAATGCCGTCAAGGAAATCAGAACTACTATGATAGGAGTGTCAGATTCAAAAGGTTGTTTTATGATGTTTTATGCACGGAAAATGATGCTCAGAACTGCTTGCTCAAACTTACTGGATGTCACTGCATTTGATATTCTTCATTTCTCCAGGTTCAATCTGTTTCTTCCTTGGTTGAGGAGCTTGTAAAGTATACAAGGCACTAAGCTTTCTTTCTTGACCAGTCTTTGTGGACCAAAGTCGAGGCCACTTCCCACTCATTGTAGTTCACTTGAATTCCTTTGCCCACTCGTGAATGGCACATTCACTCGTTTCATGCGCATGAACCAAACCGGAGGCACAGCACTTTGCCTTCATGTTGGACCAGCTCGGGGTCCGCTGAGCGAGCAGAAACAAGGATCCCAAAGAGCACGTGCGCTTGCGCGAAGCGCGTGTGGCCGTGATATCTGGGGGTCGGCGGAGAAGCTGAGGAAGGTGGAAATTGCAAGGCTGGCTGGCTGTGAAAGAGTATATAGGTGAAAAGTCCCACACCTCATTGGATGATTTGAATGCGACGGTGCCATCCCAAAATCTTTCTACCTCAAAGTCCTAGAGTGCTTGGTCATGTTCTCATTGCCAGATTGGGTTTGGGAGTGCCACACCTGCGCCTAAGCAGTCGATCCGCTTCCTTCAGTCGACCTCGTTGACTCTGGGCGGGCTCAGGTGATCTTGGGGCTGATCCCCTTCAGTCGCGATGGGCCGGAGACCCTCAGGATTAGGGCCGGGATGGGGAATCAGGTGGTCACAAGGGGAATGGGTCATCACCCAACCCCTTGTGGCTGTGGATCCAAACCGGGACCCCTCTTCTCCGTGGGCACCTACCTCCCTTGAGACGTCTCTTCTGTTCATTTTCGGTGGGAAAAAAACCGGGGTCCCTCGGCAGGGCTGTTCGACTTGCTGGGGCAACTTGGTCGACTGGGATGGTGTCCTTCTTGGTTCATAGAAGTACTGTACGTATAATAATAATGGTAAAATGATGGCAGTGTGGTGAAAAATGTATCAGAGCATAATTCGGCGGATTAGTGATTAGTGGTGCTGGATTTTTATGAGAGGAAGCAAGCTGGAGCATGGAGATATAGGAGGTGCTTGGGTCTCTTCCCATGCCGCTTGGGTCATCTTGCCAATTCTCCGAACACTCCGAGGTTTCCGGTGGCTGTCAGTGCCTTGCGCCCATCAGGCGGCGTGCTCCATGCCCGAAGCTCAAAGCCAGCACGAAAGTTGAGGCATCATATCGTGATGCCTCGACTGTCCCGTAATAGTAATACCGGCAGTATGTCGTTTTCGTCCGGAAAACCTCCCAAATTTGCAGCCTCGTTTCGTTTTCGCCAAGACATTTTTCGTTGTGATAATTCATGTCCATGATGTCCTGTGAGATTCATACCTGGACCCTGTCGGCTGTCGGGGTGTCCGACTACCCCGCACTACCGCACGTTCGGCTTCCTATTCCAGGGCACCCCCGTCTCCAGACAGACGCTGAGGTTCATTGGAACGCCCCGGTCGATGCTGAAACGGAGCGGGCGGTGGGAAGGTGGGCTGTCGTCAGTCTGAGTTTTTGGTTGCACCTGGAACGCTGAAAACCAGACATATTGAGTCATATGAGATCGGTTAACCGTTGAAATCCATGGTTGCCGTTTAACCTTTAAGGATTTTCGGAACTGTCCCATTGGTTCCCCTGCGTCGTTCTGCAGATGCCTTGAAACATGTGAGGGGGAGATCTGTCACGTCAGGTGGTTCACTCTTTCACGTTCCGATGCGGAGTAGCTCATCGCCGCTTGAAAACCCCGCCAGCTGTGGGAGTTCTGCAGGCCTGCAGCAGTGTGTTCCCTGCGTTGACCTGCGTTTGGCTGGAAAAATGGACGGCATGAACCTCCAACAGAGGTTAAAGGACCTTAATAGACTATCCCATAGGTACCCCACAATGGTTCTATAAGGTCACTTAACCTCTCTTGGCTGTTACATACTTAACGAACACACCACATGAACGTGGACAATTGGCCACGAAAAGAGCATTTTGCTTTACGAACTGGTGGTGAAAACCACGTGCATGTTAGTGAGTTGGAGTGTAAAGACATTCAATTTGGGCGACCCCGAACGGTGAATTGGAGAAGATCTTGAGAATGGGCCCTGAAGCTTTCAGCATGGTGATTTGATGACATTGTCGGGCAAATTGCAGGTGCCACTTCAGCCAGCCACCCCAGACATGAGGAAACGTGGCTTATTGAAAGGACCCCCTGAAGGTCCCCAAAGGGTACTCAGACTCCCGTTTTGGACTCTATCGGCCAGCGCCAAGTCATGACACATGCGGACACCTGTATATAACAGGACCAGCTGTGAAAAAGCATGGCGCACCAGAGGGTGCTGGCATAGAGGGCTGGGCGATAAGACTCGTCTACATGTCAATTTCTTGATTCAATATGATTCAATAATATAATTGCACATGCATATGCTGCATATGTATGTCCAATATAACAGATTATACAATTACGGCACAACTTTCCTCTAATTTGAGTCACGACTCTCTACCTCTATGAGAGAATGGGCTCGGTCAGGCACAGCGGGTTGAAGAACACCCTGACTTGCCTGGCCATCCTCGCACATTGTACATCTCCGATGGCATGGCCCCGATGTCAGATCACCATGAAATCTGACCGAATGACCAAACTAGGTGGTGAACTCAAGCGAACTCCACTTCCATGACCAGTTCAGGGGTCGTGTAATGAAATGAGTGTCTGGAGTGACGCCTACAATTGGGCAAATATTCCATATATAGTTTTTGGTGGGTAGGTGCCATATAGAACACCATGACTTGGTACAAAAAAAACAATGCCCCCCCGTCTCGTGTTTCGCTTCGCATCCGCTTCCACCCGCAGGAGGCCGCGGAGCGCGTCGCGGCGGAGGCGGGTCGAGGTGGTTTGGGTCGGTTCGGACTTCGGTGGAAGGGAACTCAAAGCTGATGCGACGAGAACCGCCGAGGGAACCCAGGGCCTTGACTGTCTCGCCTTTGCGGCGCCGCGTCCCGCGCGCGTTGGGACGCGGCCTTCCTGGCCCTGGCCTTAACTAACAAAGCCTAACGAAGCCTCAGAATCCTTGACACGATTGAAACTGATCAGATGGTTTTTGTTCAGATGGAAGACCCCCCTCACTCAACTCGGATGCGGATGCGACTTGTGTGGTGGAACTTAGACCGTACCTCATAGGAATGGTGGACTTGTTTGAGCGGCTCGTTCAACGAGTTGGGACTGGTGCTGTCGCACGTGAATAGCAGTGGTGTGCCACAGTTGCGATGGCTCAGGCAATGGAGATGATCTTGAAGGTTTCAGCTCAACAACTTGGGACCTATTATTCATTGGATGGGCGTTTTTCGTGAATTGTTGATATACCCCTCTACCAAAAGATGGCACAAGTAAAAGTGCTCCATATGCTACTTTTTCCTGCGGAGCGGCATATGAAAGGGCTTCTGACCGTATACATGTTTTCTCTTTTTTTTGGATTCTGCTTTTGCTGTTTTTCTGCTTTTGTTGCTTTTCTGCTTCTGCTGCATTTTTGCTTTTGTTGCTTTTCTGCTTTTGCTGCTTTTCTGCTTCTGCTGTTCTTTTGCTTTTGTTGCTTTTCTGCTTTGGCAGCTGTTCTCCTGTCTCTTTTTGTTTTTGTTTTTCCATTTGTTTGCTTTCTAACCTTTGGATCTGGGGTGCTGCTGGGGAACCGCTGCGGCCCCCCAACCCCCCCGCGCCACCAAATTTGCACTTCATCTCCGACTCCCTGCGCCTGCCATGAAATCAATAAGGTGAACTTTGCGGGGCAAAAATTCTAACCAATCATATATGCCTCCTGTGCTAGTTCTCTTTCTCTTTACTGTTTCTCTGCCAACTGCACCAAACTGTTGTGAGAGGTAGGTAGGAATTTCTCTGACACCTGCACTATTCCAATGTATTTTGCCAGCTACGACAGCCCCCAAATTAGTCTAATCAGCTAGCAATTAATATGAAACCTGCACTATTCCAATGTATTTGGCCAGCTACGACACCTGTGTCTCTGCTAAGTACACGAAATTGCTGTAATTAGCTAGGTACTAATAAGAAACCTGCTCTATTCCAATGTTGTTGAAAAAAGCTCCCGAAAACAATGAAAAACAAATAGAAGTGCACCCATTGTTCATTCTTTTTGTCACCAAATATAGATAGTGGATGATAGTGGCACGATTTCCAATACGTGTTCAAATGGGTTTTGCTTTTCTATCTATTTGGGGGTCTATTTAAGTACGTCAGCAAAGTACAAGGAGTAGACCGAGGGTAGAGGCGGGCAGAGGGAACCGAAAGGGAACCAAAGATATCCAAAGAGTATCACTCAGAGTAAACTTTTTTCTTGGTGCTCAAGTTTGTAATCCAAGGGTTTTGCTCAACCAAAATGGAAGGTTCTGCCCAGAAGTGCAAACAACATCCTTGTAGGTACAAATGATGTGGCTGCGACTTGACCCCTTGTACATCTCCGCCCCGCCCCCCCTCTTGAGCGTCGCCTGCGGCGGAGAAAAAATAGATGTTATGTTTGATGTTGATTAGGGCCAAGAAAGGTCTTTGGGGCTTCATCCACCATGTCCACGACATACTCTCCATTCGCAGGTGCAAGAACTGCTGCGTGACACCCGAGGCCTGCATTTGGAAAGGGCGGGGGAAGAAGGCTTCGAAAGGATTGGCAAGATCAGACGATCTCAATATGCTCAAGAATCATGCTTTGCATGCTTTTGTCTTCCGTTTTAGTCTTTGGAACATTTTGGAGCCATTGGTGTATGTAACCTTCCATATGGTGGCAAAGGCATCCGTTCTCTTCAACATTCATGGCTTTTTTGTTCGCATGCATGTGTCATGAGCTCTCGAGCTCTTCCCTGTGCCGGACATGGGAACAAATGGAGGAAGTCGGGGTGCCCCTGTCACATTCACTCACGACGTCGGGATCTTGGGGACTCAACACCACCCCGTTTTGTGACTGCTGGAAGTTTCTTTTTGTTGGGTTTGGGGTTGTGTGGAGCATCCAACCTTCACTTCGGAACTGGACGCCGCCACCGGTCGGAGAACCGCTCCAGGTGCCCAGTGGTCAGCTCAGGCGGCTTCCGGGATGGTGTGCCATCATGTGCCATGAGGGTTGAACCACCCAAAAGTGCGAAGGAAAGGCTGTTTTATGGATGTTTGAGTCCACTTTTTCAAGGCAGGGATCTCATCTCTCGATGGATTTCAGTGGCATTGTTGCATCATTTTGCCAACTGACTAGTCTAGAATGTCTCATTCTTGCTCCGAAATGTGTTAGGATGGATTGAAGTGGCCTTTTGTTCGAATTTTCAGGCTTTCCGCATCTATAATCTCCGGCGCCCCTCATGCCACACAACCTCACTCGACCCATGGGTGGCCTTGTTCGGGTGACGTCCATGACCTGCGGCCAACGCCCAATCGAACGGCTTCATGGCTTAGCCTCCAAAACGACCACGCTCGGCCGTGACCAAACGCAGTCGAGACGTCGAAGACGTCGCAAAAGAGCACGACGGGGAGAGTGCGATCAGAGGTCTTTGATTTGCCATCACGTCTTGAGATGGCAAACTCCTACGTAATTAGTTTGATGCTGCCTTCATTACCTGGAGTGTTCGCCTTCAGCCTTCACAGAAACAGAGAGAGAGAGAGAGACGACAGGGATCGGAGTTGCCTTTTGAAAAAAGCGACGCCTTTAAGCGACGCCTTTTGTGATTTGTATTTGTGTCACATACCAAATGCAGCTTGTAGGATCGCACGGGGCTCTTTCAAAAAAGGTCTTGACATGTCTTGACCAACACCAAATCAGGTGAACAAAAAGATCTGGACACTGTTCCACCGGAGAAATCCACCCACCGCGGCATGGATTCAGCGCACTCTTCAGAACCCGACCCACCCGCGACGTCCTCCGGTGTCAGAATCCGAGTTGACCCACGGTGTTTGACCGAAACAGACCGAGGGGATGATCGGACCCGTAAAACCCCCCGCTGTGTCCGTTGAGACCCGGCAACAGGTGATTCACGTTTGGGCTCCAGTACCGAACAGGAGGTACGACTGGAGCCCTAGGGATTTGCTTGAAGATCATACCCAAACACTCCATGTATGCCATATATGCCTACATTGGGGTGGTTTGAGGGGTCAATGTAGGCATATATGGCATACATGGAGTGTCTGGGATATGAAACAAGGCCAAGTATCGACATGATCCGAGGATGCCGAGGAACAGGGGGGCTTCAAGCGAGGACTCGTGGGTCGATCGAACTGATCTGATCGACTCGTGACACCAAAACACCGAGCGTCCGGAGGTCTCCCACATCCAACGGGTCAAGAACTTTGCGCCGCGGGCGCGGGGCGGGGCGGTTTGGGACAAACCGGGGTGAGGTTTGAAGTGAGCTGGATCTCGCAGGCCAGGGGAAGTGTCCCAAAAGCTTGCCAACTGGGCTATACTCAGTTTCATATGTGTTTTAAACGCTTGATCCACACTGACTAATGACACACACAAAAAAGAAGGGGCAAGACGACACTCTGCGATACCCGGGAAAAGTGTTGTGCTATGCACCACTGAGAACAGTTCCCACCAACCTGAGAACACTGGAGTTGATGCAGCATCACTCAAACTAGAAGCCCCAAAAGCCAGTTCTACAAGGGACTATCAGAAAATGGTTGCAAGGTTTTGGTGGGCCATTAGGTAGTTATATGGAGTATTGAGGCGGTTTAGTGCAAGTCCTGTGAGTAGCCACAGTTGATAGGCCAGAGCCGAATTTGGGTATAGTTTCATATGTTTCTATTCCAAAACCGACAGTCAAAGAGTTCTAGATTGAGGCGGTTCTCTCACTTTGAGGCCTTTGCAGCTGGGTGAAGGTGTGGCTCAAGGCCATACAGCCAAACACCATTCTTCTGGCGTGTCATGTTGACTCCTGTTCCCAGCCACCGTCGAAAACCACCAACTTGTGTCGTTTAGAGTGCGGGTTTCTCAATGTCTTACAGGGGCATAAAGTCTCACAAAGTTTGTTCGATCAAGTTTGTTTTTATCATGAACAATATAACAATAACGGATGAACCATCAAACAACCATAAGGACCATAAGTTTGTTCATGGTTAGTGATGATGGTTCCATTTGTTTTCATCCGGAAGTCCTGTCGTTGACCGCTCTTCAGCGGCATCAACGTTCATCCTGACCCCGACGCATACCCATCCAGGTCCGGCACTTGCGCATCGACGTGCGTTGTGAGAGTGACACCGTCCGTGCAGCCGAAAAGGACGGGCCCAGCGGTGACCAGGTGCTCGGAACTTCGGTGAGGAAAATCGGACCAGAGATGACCGGGTGCACTTCTTGAACGGTCACCGGATGTTGCAGGGTTTGGTCGGGTTTGGGTGCGGTTCACGTTCGGGTCATTGTGGGTAGGTGTTCGGGTGGGTCGGACGGGAAGAGCAAGACTAAAACCCAAATTGGACAGGGCGCTCTTAGTACAGACAAGTCACTTGTTAGATATAGACCCACGAACAGATCAGACGACAGAAATACGACTCAGATGCAGAGAAAGGATAGATTGATGCCAATCTACTGAATCTAAATTTATAGTTGTGAGCCAAGGGCTTTCAAGACTGCATGTCGCAATTGTTTCTTGCCTGATAATCTGTTTAGCACTCAAGGCTGTCAGACAGGCCAACTTGGTCTGTTGATGATGTCGACGTGTACTTTGTTTGGATAGTCCCATACACTCCATGGGACTGCCTACGTCGCCCCAAAACGACCCCAACTACACCACCCCGGTCGGCCATCTCCGCAGTCCGCAGTCCCATGGGTCGAGTCGCGCCATGGGTCGAGTCGCAGTCCCAGTCCTACGCCGTGGAGCTCATGGTCCTGACCGATTAGGAACGCCGGGCGTTCCTCGGCGGACGCAAAGGCTGTTCGTGACCCACCGTGGAGTGACGAAGAAAGCGACAGCCCTTCAAACAAGCATCGCACATCCATATACCAGAGGGCCCCCGCAGGCAGAGAGGGGGGGGTGGCTCATAGACACCCAGACAAAGCTCGAATACCTGGCCCAGGGGCCCTGGTAAATATGCATACATAAGATTACATAAGTCCATCCATCCACAGTTCCCCAGGAGATGAGGATGTTCTGGACATCCGCTCCAGAGAACTTGCGGAGGAATTCTGCCAAATGCTTGATGTGAGTGTTCCACATGCTGTATGGATGTAATCCCGATCCCCTAAACTGGATGGTATGAGATTATGTGATGATATGTGATGGGTCAGGCATTTGCCACCCACGCACGCAGGATTTGTTTTTCTGGATTTCAGTCTCGACTTCTATCCAGAACCCTGGGACAAGGGAGGCAAACCCAAGAAGCACTGAACCCACAGGTGTCAAATGTTGGTGATCCCATGCGGCAAGGCTTTACACTTGATGCTATCCGAACAACCCCCAAGCTCCCGTGATTGTCCCATGTTTGCCTTCCAGGTGGTGCTCGAGTTTTCTTTTGCTTCGACGGTAGGAGTTGTATTTATATTACTATTTTATATCAGAGTGAGATGAGAATTGTGGCAGCTGAGGATGGATGAAATCCAAACTCCCTCCAGCTAAAGGAGGACGCAGAAGAGGATGAAGAGGCAAGTGGCCGGCGTAGAGGAGTAGTGAGTACATTTTGTAAGATGGCTAGCATGCAGAGTGTTGCATATCAACTGTGCAACTGTTGCTACAATTTGGAGGGCCCCAGGCCAATATTGTGCCATGCCTACTCAGGGCCAACGCGTCTCGGTCCATGCTCGGTCGAGAGAACAGAGAGGAGCCCGGGAGCAGCTTGACGTGCCAAGGCCCAGAGGATGTGGAGGGGAAGGATCAGCTCGAGCAACCTGGGTCTTCATGGTGAAGGGAGCCCTTGTGAACTGGGACGTACGCTGTGCAACGAGAAGTACGAAGTGGACTTGATGCACTGGCACCTGTCAGATCTCGGTTCCTGACACGGAGACTTCACGAGCCTGCAGGCTCGCACATCCCAGGCACGGTGCGCTCTTCGGGTGATGATCTTGGCGCGCGACACAGAACCGAGCTCAAGGAGCAACCGCCACTCTTGCGGCACTCTGGCATACCCGCCGCAAGACGACGCGGCGCGGGGGTGGGGGTTGGTTGTTTCAATTGGGGGAGTGGTAGGTCTTGGGCCTCACATCTTGGGCGGTCTGGGCATTGAATGAGCTCGAAGTTGGGCGTCCTTGGCAAGTGACCGGAGATGTCGCTCTCAGCTTCACACTTGACCAGCCGCCTTCGCCGCCAGCCGCTTTCTATGACGAAAAAACCCCACGGTTTGGTGACCTGGCGCGACTTCGAAGGAAGAGCTGGACTTCCGTCACACCCACCTGACGGTGCCTGTTGGCACCTAACTATATAGTCACCGACGGCGCTGGACACGTTTGGGACGTCAGGTTCGCTCCGCTGGGTGGGCCTGGCCCCCGAGATGCCAAGGTGCCTGCTGTGCTCTTGCTCCCCGGATGAACGGGTCGGACGGCGGCGAAGGTGAGGACACCATCCGCGTGACCCGGTCATCAGATTCCCAAACTGTTCCAAGAGTAGGACCTTGAGCTGTTCACCTGAATATTCCAAAGATACAACCTAATAGCGATGGACTCCAACCTAACAGCGATGGCTTCCAACCTCAAGCCTTGTGCTGTTGAAAGTTCATTTAGCTGACATTCTCTAGGATTGACAACTCTCAGAGCAGTGCGAGGTTCATCAATAATAGACCGAAGAACACCACGGAGATTCTCCCGTATCTCTCCACCGGCATTTGGCACCAGGGAAAGAACACCAAAGGATATAGAAAACAATGCCTTCAGGATTTGGTGATCAGCCTTAATGATTTGGTGAAGGACCTGAATGATTTGGTGAAGGACCTGAATGATTTGGCGACCAGGGTACATGATTCATTGCATTTTCTGATTTTGTTGGTGATTTGGGGACCAATCAATTGCAATGTCTGACCACCTCGCTGAAGTGGATCTGCCAAAAGCCAAGCTGAGGATGCTTGTGTGTAGACACCTGAATCTTCCTGGAGCCCCACTGGAGTCCCAAACTGATACCTTAAGTTTGTTCAAAGGGCGCCAGGCTGAGTAGTTGCTTTGAAACACCCAGATGAAACCCCAAACTACCCTCAGCGATCTCTTTCTCTCTCTCCCTGTTTGTAGTATCAAGCAGATGGGCGGTAGGGAGAGTTGTTTTCCAGTCCGAACAAAAACATTATACCCTAGAAGTCCAAAGACTATATTTTGACCGGCTGAAGTAAAGGAAGTTCCCTTTCAGTTCCCCTAAAGACCATTCTTTTTATAGTCTTTGACTCCCAGGGATTATATAACTATATTTGATACTATCTGTAGAAAACACTTGGATGGGTCCCACCCGCAGCACTCTTTGGTCCAGCGGAGCCGCTCAACTTGCCCGACCCGCTCAGTGCTCGCATGCTCTGCTCAGTGCCTTCGATGCACTGCTCATCAGAGCGCTGGTCGCGGCGCATGAAAAACATGCAGACCACCGAAATCTTTGCTGGGTAGACTTAGCCATGCGAAACCCGAAACGAGACCGGGGTCTTTCCAGGTCTGAGAGGTCTCCCATGTCTTGAGCTACCCATGAAGCATGCACTTGGATGAATCAAACTTCACATTTCACAGCTATGGCAACCATTTTTCATGCGCAGGTTCTCCTGTTGCTGCTTGCGATGCCAGTGGGCGTGCCGAACCCAGTCACACTCAGCGTTTTCCAGTTGCGGGTGATGGGCTCAAGGGTTTTGGGGCGCGGTTGCAGCGCTCAGGCCACCACATCAGCTTGCACTTCTGCGACAGACAGCGAAGAGCGGACCGCCCTCCTGCAGAAGCCAGGACACGTTCATGGAGCCAGCGATGTCGATGTCATCGACGACGAGTTGGATCACGATGAAGGGGTGCAAGGTACGTGTTACCCTTCGCTGGCTCCTTGAACATTGAAACATGTCTTGGCTCTTGAGAGGATCCTGAAAAGCTCAAGGGCTTGGGGTTTATTGGAGATAGTAGGAGCATGTTCTTTGAATGGCTACCACTGTCGGTGGAGAGTTTTTTGCATCCTTCCCACAGAGTGCTGGGAGTTTTCTGGCGGCAATCCGGGAATACTGTAGCACAGGTTGTGGTTTTCTTCGCACGCACAGGTTTTGGGTTCAATTCACTGGTGATTCACTGACCATGGCGGGCGATGTGTTGCTCGCCATCACGACGGTGATTGATTGATTGATTGAAAGGCTGCCTCGTAGGAAGTTGGTCGAAACAAGCATGTCCCCTCCATTGATTTAATAGGCTTTACCGAATCAACTAAGGATTTTACACTTCAAAAACCAGGTCAACCATTGTTTAAATGGTCAGGGAAGTCTAGGGCATCTAATCGCGGGTGATAGTGCCATTGTTTGAACTGCAGACGAATAGGTGGGCCTTAGCATCAACCCTTGTAAAGCCGGGTAGGACGAGGCAAAAACCGAGGTTTGTGACAGAGGTCAAACCCTCAGACGGATCAAAACGTTCCTCGGGTTCTTCAAAAAATCTGCCACCTCTGATTGAACCGTTCTTACCTTCTCCACGCCCCAAGCCCCCAACTTCAAACTTGTGTGACATCTCTCCATGCTGAGGCTTTCAAAAAGATTGCAACCATTATTTGTTATTGCAAGCCAACATTGAAGTTGGGGTGAAAAAGGGGGTTGTTTGCCAGACTTGGACATGTGATGTGATGGCTGCTTTTTTTGAGGAACCCAGTGTTTCAAAACAAGTGAAAACCAGAAGCTGCCCGAGCTGAACTCTGTGAACAAAGCACTGAACACAAGTGACACAATCGAACTTGCGTTCGCCTCTGTCGAGCCCCCCTATCTCGTCCCACTTTCTTAGGCCATGTGACCAATGTGGTATGTCTTGTAACCCACCTGCCGAACCAAAAACCAGCACGCGACGCGTAGATCAAAGGCGCATCAAAAATGATGCGCAACAAGGCCCAATCGATTGGGATAGCCATGAATACCTCCATATCACATGTCTCTTGTTTTCCATATTCACCTTGAGCTAAGCTCATGATCTCTTGCGAAGCTAGCGGGTGAATCAGATCCCCTTCAGAACGACTCCGAAATTCCCCTTCTCAACCACACATCTATAGAAACCGTTCACGCAGCGGAAATGGCTCACGCCTCGCCACCCCTTGCCAGGTTCCAATCTGTCGTCGCCGCCGGCGAGACGGAAATTGCAACCACTACGGCGTGTGTGACAGTTGCCGGCGCCGACGACGCATGGGTACTGAAGATTCTCATGGCGACTGTAGCTAGAAGAACGGGGTGCTCAAGCTTTTGCAACTCCCAGACACTCCATGGGACTGGTATATTTACCTACATTGACTCCCCTGGCACCACCCCAACTGATCGGCATATATTCCATACATGGAGTGTTTGGGACTTAATTCGGTATCAACATGGCGGCGGAGCTCAGTCGTCGTGCATGTTTGGTACACCCCTGCAGTCATCACCCTCCTGCAGGTGAGAAGCGTTTTGTTTAGAAGCTGTGCCTGAGTTGCCGAGCAAGTATAGAAATTCATATCAAATTATTAGGATAGTCTTTCCAGATGGTCTCTGCGAATCTCTCGTCAAAAAGAGTCGCTGAATGTCGCTGAGATTCTGATGAAATCCTGTGAAGTATCTAAGAGTTTCTACTCTATGGTTTTAATGATGTGTGTGTCGCGAGTAATTGAGCCAACATTGGCAAATTCACTCATGCCCCACCCTATTTGCTCACGATGCCCCGGAAGACATCCCCGATGACAGTTGCAGCAATCTTTGGATGTAGTGGTAAACGGAGTAAAACAATCCAGCGTCAGAACATACAAGAAACACCACACTTTCTATATTCAAGTCATTTCACTGTTGATGTCATGTTTCTGGTGGAAACATGTTCAACGTTTTGTTTACGATGTGCATGTGTCCATCCGCATGTACGGTCCATCCACCTGTTCCGCGCCACCCAGGTCATGTGCTACGCAGTGGTGCCTTGGACCGAACTCTTGGGGTCCGTGGCACCGGTCACCGCGGAGATCCGGTCAGGTCAGTGTGACCTCGGTGGACGCGAAGCGAAGGTGGCTTCCAGGTTCGCATGGTTTGCCGATGGGCCTTCAGTGCCTTGGGCAGGTTGGGAGATCTGTGCGGAGGCTTTTTTGGGATACTTGGGTACCAAAAAGGAGTTTTATTTGTTGCACTTCATAAGCCATTGGACGAGCCAGTAGCCTAGACTGAATAGATCATTACGGATCATGGATCGTAGAATAGATCAAGGAGTGAAAATTTTGGAAAAGAGGAGGGAATGTGTTGTTGCCTTTGCCCTTTCATATATATACTGTATATATAACTTATTAAATATCGATCTATTATATATTATATACACAAATATTTGTTCTCATTTTGTGTTCGTATTTTTCTGGGTCTCCCTACCGTTGATTCTTGGGGAGTTTCATAAGAATACCAACAACAAAATATAGCCATATAGTTAGCATGTCAAAATGTAACATGTAACCTTTCAAACAGCGCTGCCGTCCCAGGTCCTTCGGGTCTACGAAGGCCTACCACCATCATCGCGGTGCTACACCGGCACAGTGATCGCTACACGTGGCAGTGCCAGCGCTGGCACTGGTTTCTTCCACTCAGGCACTGCCTGGCGGCGTCTCGTCCACTCGTCCATCGTTATTTGGTGGTTCTTCTCGCCCATGCTTCGTCGCAATCGACGCGTCGAGACCGTGACGACCGCCTTCCTTTTGCGGCATTGGGGCGGAGCGGTGCAAAGCCGCCAGTCGCAGCGTTGGACGAGTCGGAGAGCCTCGGTTCGTGGATGTGACTGGGTGTGGGGGGGGGGTGATTCCCTGGAACAGTCAGAAGGATATATCACGAATTCGTCGTTGGTTCGCTTTGCTGCTTTTCTTTTGCTGTTGAGATGTTTTTGCGTTTCTTCACCAGGTGTTGAGTCCTGTTCAATCCTTTTTGGCGAATCATTCGTGTTTGACCAGACTTTTCGGATGCTTTTCATGCTTACTATATAGAGTGTGGTTAGGATATTTTTTACTACAGAATGTATATTTGGTTTGGCGAATGTATTCTTTTCGGCATTCCAACCCCAAGCGTTTCTCAGCTTAAATGCATCCTTGTCATGCTGTGTCATGTATTCACACGTGGCCTTGTCTTGTGTCACACGACCAATCATCCACAACCGTGCCTTCCAAGGAGTGCTTTTGGGTGCAAAGCAACTGCGTCCTGCTTGGTATGTCACTCGGATTCCAAGAGGTCTCCACGTAGCCACCACATGCCGTAAACGGTTGTTGTTGAATGTTGATAGTTATGGGCCATGTCCATGTGTGGAAACCCTCAGGGTTTTTCTTCGTGAAAACGCCGTCCATCAGCTGATGCAGGGCGCGCTTGGCTGTCCTTGGATGGCTCAGGGCAGCCAATTCGGGATGGAAGTTTGCACCGGACTGGCCGAAGGCGGATCTGGGCCATCTGCACGCTTCACACGGCTTCCTTCGTTTGGCCGCTGTGAAAACGGAGAACGGCGGTTTTGGGGTGGGGATGTTGACTGGCTTTGGGCTGTCGTCGGTTTCGGGGTGTCCCGTCGCGTGGCCGCAGGGCACGAAGCTGAGAAGTTCAGAGATGGCCAAAACTGTTGGAATCATCGAAGTGGAGTGAAAACCACCTGGAACAGGTCTTCGGAATGGTTGGTCATCCACTGCATCCATTTTTCTGGGCCATGTAACGAGTGATCTCAAGGAGTATGTGGGTGTGTATTAACATAGGGAGGCCTCCCAGTTCGACCCCTTTGAAGCAACACTTCGACCCTAAGACATCACCCAGATGACCCCCAAGACCGACCTCCGGAACCTCCCGGTTCTGGGGGGGCATCCGGTTCATGTCTCCCACGGTTCAGCCCGGGGTCCATTGGTTTGGACCCACACCCAGGACGCGACCAGCCGGAGGGTCGTGACCCTCACCTCGACCGGTCTGGGCGGTCATCGCCCGAGCGGAGCCCGACCTGCGGAGGGGCCACAGCGTGAACTGCACTGCAGATGAGCTGCTGGCCGTCCGACCGCGATGCACTCTTGACACACTCAGATGGCACCCTCTGAGACGACCGACCTGGCGAACTGGCATCAAAGGTGATAGCAAGTTCTCTAGCAAGTTCTCTAGCATGGGGTGATTCGTTCTGCCCGGACGTGGCCTGATGCCCTTCGTCCTTTCCTCCAGCGGCATGCGCTCGACTGTATGACCCGGAGAACAGGGAGGCAATCGGGGAAGGGGCACGGGAGGCTGGGCAATGGATGATTTGTGGCCATGGTTTCTTTATGTGTCTTCACTTGAGTAGCATGTCTTATTCAATGATATAATTAGACTAGGCTGTAACTCACCAAATGTTTGCCAAGGCATTTGTGTGATACATTATGTGCGGCGAAGGCTCGCGAAGGCTCTGGCGTAGGCCCTTGGATTTCACACAGACGAGGCCAACTTGCGAAGGCTAACTGAGAGAGTGTACGAAAGGTTGCGAAGCCCATTCGCGAAGCCTCTTGTGTTGTACGAAGAAGCCTCGCGAAGCCACCCTTCCCACAAATTCTGATCCTGCAAAACGCCCAGCGTAGGCAACTCAGCAGTGTTTAGAACACAGCCCACTTGTTGTGCTCGCACTTGTATTGTCATGTATGCATTTGTGGTGCTCAAGGCACTGCTGAGGCGTGGAAGGACTACTCCTCAAAGCGGGCGCTTGTTGAAGTGCAGCGACTCGGCTTAAAAGGAGGCGTGCTTCAGCCTGCCAATTGGTTTTCCTTTGTCCCGTGTTGTGCATGAGAAGATCGACAGGCTGTTCAATTCACACCTGAGGTACATCAGACATTCGCACAATGATGTCAACCGCTACTTTGCACATGGTGAGCATGCCAACAGTTCAGTGCTGGACTTGATCGAGGACCTCATCAATGAGAAAGCCCACCCAGGACAGCCAAGCACGAGTGCTTCAAGTGCCACACTTGCCGATGTGTTCACATACAAGTCCCAGTGTGCCTTTGGAGATTTCCCATAGACAACTGACATTTTTCCCCAAACAGTTTACTGTTAGGGGTTCTTAGTTCTTTCTTAAGATGTGTCCGCCCTTTGTGTCACTGCTGGTGTCCGCCCTTTTCCGCTGGCCATGTAGCATTTCTATTCATTTGTCTCCCAGGTTTGTGACTGTGGTCCCCCCTTTTCCGCTGGCCATGTAGCACTTCTATTCATTTGTCTCCCAGGTCTGTCGCTGATGGTGTCCGCCCTTTTCCGCTGGCCATGTAGCATTTCTCTTCATTTGCAATATGTCCTTTTCCGTTGGCCATGTAGCATTTCTGTTCATTTGTCTCCGAGGTGTGTCACTGCTGGTGTCCGCCCTTTTCTGCAGGTGATGCAACATTTCTAATTATTCCCCAAACAGTTTGCCGCATTTCAATTCGTTTGTCTTTACAGTGATTTCTTTACTTTTGTCTCCCAGGTTCGGTGCCTGCACTGCTGGTGTCCGCCCTTTTCCGCTGGCCATGCAGCATTCCTATTCATTTGTTTCCCATGTGGTTTGCTTACCTTTATCTTCCAGGTTGGGTGCCTGCACTGCTGGCATCCGCCCTTTTCCCCTTTCCAGCATTTCTATTCATTTGTCTCCCAGGTGATTTCTGTACTTCCCCAAACAGGTTACTGTTAGGGGTTCTAAATGCTTTCTAAGAGTGTTTGCCTTGCTGCCGGACAGCGTGTCCGCCTTCCGTCCGGCTTGTCTCC